CCCCCCCCCCCCCCCACTATCCTCTCCATATTGACGGGGTGTACAAGCCAGTTGCCCTGTGGAATGTCCTGTATTCTGGTTTTGTCTGTTTCCTGTGGTGTCTTTTAAATTACCCCTCTTTTCTTTCTATTTCCTATAAATGAAACTTAGTACTAGAGGTTTGGTTACATTCAGGTTTGACTTTTTGCCAAGAATACTTCAGTTAGCACTGTGTGCTTAAGATTCCATCACAATTGTCCTGTTGGTCCACATTTAGAGATGCAAAGATTAATCTGTTCACACCTTTCTCTCTTAAATTAACATTCTATTCTGAAGATCTCCATTTTAGCTCATGTCAAATGTCCTCAGTCTTTCTTACAGCTACATACATCCATTCTACTAAACAAAACATTGGGTGGAACACTTGAAACCTATATAATTTTATTAAGCAGTGTCACCCCAAAAAACTTAATATTTTTTCCAATCTCTAAAAAAAAAACCCAAAAATCTCATTGGATGAAAATATCAAAATTATTACCTCCTTGGAATGAACACTTTATGTCTCAGTTTATCTGTTAAGATGATCATACAGGACTCACCCAGGCCTATGATTCTTTAATTATGGGCAATGGAAGTTTGCTTTATAAAAGGAGCCCTGGAATGTGTGTTTTTGTTGCTTTTCGTCAAGGAGTCTTGTATTGAAATTAATTAGTTTCTAAATTGTGTTTAGAAAGTTGCACTGTGAATTTTCTTCAGGGCAGTTGTTGAGTGTTGGTTATAATTATGTAGGGGGGCACTACGTAGAAACTACCATGTAAGATATTACTATAGAGATTAAGTTTTTTTGCTTTCTCCCTTCATTAAAGGGAAGAGTGGAAGAAAATCTGACTCCTTAAAAGTAGCCTCCAAGCACCAAATGGGTACATTAGAATTATATGTAATTAGAATTATAAAATAAGATCGAACTAAAGGGCCACTTGACAAAATTCATAAAATGAAGTTAGAGAATGTGACCCAGGTTGGGAAACAGGACAAAATGGTGACACAGATGTATTATCTGGAAAATTGCAGTCCAGTAAGAATCAGACCCATCCAGTGGGGGAGCTGCAGTGGGATGAATACTTAGGAGATTACCACACTGCCCACTAAAGGTGGGAATCCTATGTGTACTTGATTTGAAAATCACCTCTTACTTAAATCTCAACATCTTACTTAGGTTCCATGTACCTTTAGTCCCAAAATTTTGCAAAGGAAGACACTAAGGTTGAATATTAAGGGTAAGAAGTTAAATTAAGCCATTCTGAGATAGATATTCTGACTTCCAGTCTGCAGCTAGCCATGTGACTTCCCTTTAAGAGTAACATCGCATGTGTACTCTTGAAAAACCTGTTTTTAAATTATATGTCATATTCACTGTAGGAAATTCTGAAAAATGAAATAAGAATAAAAATAAATAAATAAAACAAAGGCCATAATCCAAGTACCATGAAATACCCACTATCAACATAATGGATCTCCTTTCAGATATTTTTCTGTGTACCTCTCTTTATATACAAACACTTTAATGTCAGTACATCTTATGGGTATATCACCAGAGTCTCACTCACAGACAATTGTGAACATCATGAATACAATGGGATCCAGGAGAAGGCACAAAATATTTCTTTATACTCCTCATTAAATCTCCTGTCAGTTGGTTTGGTTCAGTGGTTAGAGTGTCGGCCCATGGACTGAAGGGCCCCAGGTTTGATTCTGGCCAAGGGCATGTACCTCGGTCACAGACTCAATCCGTACAGGAGGTAATCAGTCAATGTGTCTTTCTCACACTGATGTTTCTCTCTCTCTCCCTTCCACTCTCTCTGAAAAGCAATGGAAAAAATATCCTCAGTGAGGATTAAAAAAAAAAAATCTCCTGTCAGTAGACTCCTCATTTTTACTTTTATGTTTGTGGTTTCAGTGCTCTCATTTGCATCAAGTGCTTTCAACAATGTCCCCACCAAGACCCCAGTACTGAGAGGGCTACTTCAGACCACATATCCTAGGCATACCTGGAGGGAACTCTAGGTCTTTCGGTCTTCAGGATGACACATTTTATAAGACAAGTTTCTCCCTTATTACTGACCACCTTTCATAGAATGATCTTATGCCAACAAACTTTCTTTTCTCACCAGACTTTATGCTGTAGATGACAGAAAACCCAACTCAAACTAGTTTAAACTATAAAGTGAATTTTTTGACTGACATTATTGAAAAGTGCAGCTTCAGGCAAGACAGTTAAATAGCCCCAATGAAGTCACCAGGGACCTCATTTCTGGCTGTCTCCAGTGTTGGCTCCTTCCTCTGAATCTAGTGTCCCTCTCCTGCACCTGCAGAGCACATATCCACACACCAAGAACATGTCTTAACCGCTTTCACAAAGGCCCACGGATTCACATTCCCTCAAAGACCCAAACTGGGTTACAAACTACTCATTCCTAAACATTCTGTGTCCGTAGGGTCAAAATGGACTAATTGGGTTAGGCCTGGGTCACATTGCCAAAACTCATGTTCTGAGAGTGAGAGAAAGTGGGTCCCTCACAGAAAGTGTCGTGTATTTCAGGGGAGAACTGAATGCTGGGCCGCAAAAATACTGTCCACTACAGATCCCTTCCCAGAAAGGGATGGGACAGGCAGATGGGGAAAGGAAACTTGCCCCTCCAAATATGTGTCATTCTTTTTCTTACAAAAAATGGCATTTTACTAATACTGTGCTTTTTTAACTTACAAAGACATGCTCTTCACAACCCTGGGGACATGATAAAGAGCTCTGTGTTTGTAGAGTTTTTATATTTAGCAACTACAGATGAATGCCAGAGAGACAAAGCATGAGGTTATGCTCAAACCAGTATCAGAGGCAGCTTAGAGCAAGCCCCACGGCTCTTTGCCCCACAGCACAGAAAACAGTGGCCCAGCCAGGACAAGTGAGTAATTTGAGCTGTCACAATATTTATGCAGCAAGTAACTTCTAAAGTAAGTTAATACCACTCCTGCCCACATCATCAAACCTTTTGAGAGTAGAGGAAATGGGGTGGGGTGTGAAAAATTTAGCCTCAGTATCTCAGTGAGCCTTCCAGTAATGAAACTGGAGAGAATAAATAGGGGTCTACCCGGAGAAAATTCTGTTGAGGTGTGTGAGTCACTGTGGGGATCCTGTCTGCAGCCTCATCTTGAAAAGGCGGGTCCCAGTACCTGCTACAGAGGCCATGCTGGTGGAAGAGGTGTTGAGACTGCTCTCCAGCATTTATTATTCTTGTACTTCAGGTTCAGAGTAAAGTTAACCATACTCCTCAGTCCAAGGGACATGCTCCTTATAAATTCTCGTGAGCTTTCTCTTATTTCATTTCATTTTATTGTTTTCCTCCTTTGTCACTGGCCCATATTCTCATGTTTTCACTTCTCACAGAGATCTACAAGAGAATGTGGAACAGTCTTCCAAAGCACTTATTCCAGCTCACATTCTCACTGGCGGAGATAAGAACTCTTAGGATGTTCCATGTCTTTGCCAGTATCAAAACTGTCAGACTTTAATTTTTTCCAAA